GCTTTTTACCTGGATCCGACATTCGTTCTGCACAGTGCCCTGTTGGTTTTAACACTTTAAATTGAGGATCCCTCAGCCTGCTTTCAGTTTTCCTTTATTGCTCCTTGAAACTAGGAATAGTTTTCATGAGATGTGCCATACACAATTTACAAAATAAGTTTCAGAGTGAGGCTGGAACCATCTTCCACTTTCTCCTTTAACTCCTGGCTCTTTGATCCAGTGGAGGTCTCTCATCATTAGTGAGCTCGGTGGAGTCATTATGTTTGTGATTCAGCCCTGAGTAAGTTAGGTCCCTAAGCTTACCTGCACTAACTCATTACTCAGGTTTGTTTGGTCGTTTCCTGAATTAAGCAATTCAAAAGCAACAATAAAAGAACGAGCCCTTTGATCCTTCCTTCTTTTAGTGATGGTTTAGTCACCAACTATAAACAGCAAGCCAATCCATTCACATCATGGATACATGATACAGATGAAATCAAGCAGGGAGTTTCATACAAATACTTGGGTGTAATGATTGACCATCTGCTGTCATGGAAGGATCACATTGAATATCTGTGCAAAAGGACAAAACAAAGAATTGATTTTCTCCGCCGTCTTAGGTCTTTTGGGGCGAGCAGAGAAATTCCTCTGTTGTTCTTTAAATCTGTGATCATGTCCATTCTACAGTACTGCAATACTACCTGGTACAAGTGTTTGTCAGCAGCTTTAAAATCCAAAAATCTGCTCAAAGATTGTTGGTCAACCCTGTCAGAGACTCTATGACTCAGCCTACCATAACAACCTAGTGAGGCTGTCCAACAACATCATCTCTGACCCAAACCATCAACACATCCTCACTCCCAGGTCGGCCTATGTTAACGCTATGTCAAGTCCCCTGTGTCGGCTTTTTCCAACGCAAGGGGGTGGCCCTTAGCGTACGTTTTCAACTTTCTGATGTCCATAGGCTTCTATATAGCTCCCTAAACGTATGTTGTCGACGACTTGAGATCGTGAGCGAATGCTACCCGCAGATCCATTCTCACAGCGTTTATCGACCTTTTACTAACTCAATATCAAGCCACACTTATTGTTTTTACTTCTTTATTTTAATTGAATAATGTAGGACTTTTGTTGCTGTCAGTTATGGGGAGAGTAGGGGCTCAGAATACTGAAATCTGTATTGTTTCTGCGTTTTTTCCTTCTAATTTTGTATTATTTTCTAAACCACACACTGTTATTTACTCAACAATAACACATAATTATCCTTGTGTTTATTTATTTTTTTGATTAATAAACACAAGTTGGAGTCCGTCAGGACCGAGGGTCAGAGCTGCTCATAGTAGTTGCTTTAGAGAATTTTACACCCG